TGTGCGAACTTGGACCTCTATTTCACATTTCAGTGTTTTTGGTTTGATTATATTATTGAATTAAATTTATTATTATATTATTATTTTTTATGATTATTTATTAAATTATAATTTATGATTTCGTGTTTCAAATTTTATCCTACCCGGGATGTTTACTAGACTCTTGTTCGGACAGATTTCAGTGAGTTATTCCTAAAAATTACAGCCTACAATAAAAAAAATACATATTTCCATGCAAAAAAATGTATCGCTTTGAGCACAGAAATATGGACATAATCAGACCGCTACGGAGGTTAAGAAGAGGTACAAAATCAAAATGCAGAGCATCTCTTTCCACAACTTCATGGATTCCTTGCATGTTTTTCAGCTTCTCCTTTGCTGTTTATTTTTCATTTAATTACTACATATCCCATTGTACCTTGCTGCGTGCATGCAGTGATTCTTGTACTGACTCCCGAAACTCCTCCTCTCAGGTTGTCTAACAAAAGTAGGCCACAAGAGCAGATTTGACCTAAGTGTTACTCTATATGGACTTGTAAAATCCAATGCAAGGTTCCAGATTGCTCAGGAAATACGAGAAACCAATGTTCAATAACCACAAGCAGAAACAAGGATCTTATACCTGTACCTTCTGTCTTATCATTTATCTGTTGAAGGAATAGTGCCCTATCTTAGGTGTCCAATGGTTGATACACCAATGGTTGATGCATTGGATATAAACACAGAAGTACAGTTTTAAATAAATGCTGAAAGGCTATTTTTAATGACAGGAGAGACTGTGAAAGTCCCACCTACCATAGAAGCTTCTGCATGTGCATCTCAGTGTACAGGTTCTACGTGATGACTATGTCATCTGCGCCTGGCCAATCAGGAGACCAAAGATGCCAAACTGTGAATAAGACCAGAAGAAGATGAAAGTGCCGACAATAGGGGAGGGGCGTTGATATTGCAGATCTAAAGAAGATTGCTTTCTAAAGTAAGCACTCCATAATGTGGACACATGCTGCACATACAAATTATGGCAACAACCTACTAGGGGTTCAAAATCTTGAAATTAATCTGGTGGTTTATTTAAGCTTTGAAGGAAACCTATCATTAGAAAAACATGGAGGCTTCCATCAGGGTTGGGACAAGGAGTGGGCAGAAGGGGCGGCTGCCCTGGGCACAATGTTTTATTGCAATGATGGATGCATTTCTGGACGTACAATCCCCTAAGCTTGCACATCATGATGGGGGGAACGACAAGGGGACACAGTTTGGAATCTTTGGCCTGGGTGCTGGATGACCTTGTCCTGGCACTGGCTGCCATTTCTGAACTCACAGTTAAAATGTTAGTTGATGGCAGGCCTCTATTTTATAACTGAGTCATTGACTTGTAACAAATATACAAACAAGAGCTTATAATATTCCCTGACTTTTCAGATCAGTATATTTGTACTGAAACCAGGTATTTCGTATTGTCAGAAAGAGGTTAGTAACAGCAGCTCCCATAGTTCCCAAGCCTAATCTGCTTAGCTGGCCTTACTCAAAAGTAAATGTTCTGATGTACTGGTGATCAGATACAACATTAACTCTAAGGGCATAAAAACAGATTCATTACAGAAAATGAAGGGACTGTACAAACCCTATACAACTTTGTCATGTGAAAATAAAAGGTTTGCTTACTTTCTAAAGATTTATGATGGGCAATCTACCTGGTACAAAGTCCATGAATTTGGGATTCATTAAAGCAGAGGTCTCCAAACTGCAGCCCTTTGCTTGCCTTTATCCGCTCCTTGGGGCCCTATTTCATCCACTGACACCAACGATGGGCACTATTCTTCCCACTGACAACAACCATGGGGCACTATTCCTTCCACTGGATTAAAGGATAACTAAAACCAAGACCAAAATGTAATGTAATGTAATATATTGCAGCTTGCAGTCCTTATATGTGGTGGCTGCATTAGTTTTTTTTTTTTTTTCAAGCTAAGAACATTTTCAGCAAATATACAACCCTGCCACGTAATGGAGGCAAAGTGACATGGACATGCTTGTAGTCCATATCAGGAAAGCAGACTGATGGAGTGATGTATTCACACAGGGATAGGAAGTGTGTTATTTGCAGGATTACCAGGTGAATATAAAGCAAAAAAAGCCTAGAAAAAAAAAAAGAAAGAAAATGCAGCCACCACACCAAGGACTAGCAAGCTGTAATAAATTCCATTTTTTTGGTTTGGGGTTTAGGTATAAAGCCTTAATGATAAGAAGAGACTGAGGTACTATATGGCTTTACATTGCTGTATGTAAAGAAAACTATTTGGTAACACTTAAGACTGTTTGGGTCCCTCCTCAAGTGAAGGTATTTAAAGCTGATAATAAAGCACGGTATTCTAAGTATTACAACAATCTGCACAATAGTAGTTGTAGTTTCTCTGGCAATACCAGTTATACGAAGTGCTAACATCCATACTTGAAATATTTCCAGCATTCATGTTATTATTTACTATTACTTTAGAATAGCAGTAAGGGCTCATTTATCACCCAATCCCTGCGTTCAATGTGCAGGTCCACGTGTGTTTTTACATGCAATTGTAATGCTTTTGCAATGCTTTTGTGGCATTTTTTATCTACTACGTTTCATTTACGGTGCATTCACATGCATTACAGTATGTTTAGCATACGATTCTTGCACAGACAGACAACCAGCCCTCAGAATGCGGGTAAGTGTGAACCTAGCATAAACAAGTCCTGAGGGCTCATTCAGAAGGGATATCAGACCCATCCTCCAAAGAAGTGGACTCTGGGCAGAACAGAAGAGAAAGAAGGTGCTTCTCAGGGCAGTATATCCACATGTTTATTGGTAATAATGGTTAAAACCACTTATAAAGGATGATAAGACTCATAGAACGTCACTACAGGGCTCCTGTCACGGTTTCCTGGAGCTCACTGTGCCGTCCAGCAGCAGCAAGGGGAGCTCAGGTGCAACTTCAAGATGGCTACCGCTCTTCCTGGGCCGCTGTGGAATGCACCATCTGCGTGGAATGCACATCTCGGAAGTGACGTCAATGGTGGGCGGTGACGCGTTTCAGAACATACGCAATAGCTCCTTCATCAAGACCGGTCTTGATGAACGACGACACAGTGAGCTCCAGGAAACAGTGACAGGAGCCCTGCATTGACGTTCTATATGCCTGATCATTTTTATAAGTGGTTTTAACCGTTTTTACCAATAAACATGTAGATGTACTGGCCAGGGGCGGACTGACCATTCGAGCACTCGGGCACTGCCCAAGGGCCCGGGGTAGGTAGGGGGCCCTATGAGATGCCCCTGGAACCTTTTATTGGCTTTTCATAGGCTTTTTTGGGTGTGGGCGAGGACACAGGGGCCCCATGATCCCCTATTGCCCGGGGGCCCCATGAGTTGTCAGTCCACCCCTGTGTACTTCACTTAGAAGCACCTTCTTTCTGTTCTGCCCAGAGTCTGCTTCTACTCCTGGAAGTGCTGCTCTAGTGCCTATTCCCACTGTCTCCCTCTACTGGTCTCCAAGGCAGATGCGCCCTAAGAACTCTTCTCTTCTAGTCCATAGAATTGGATGCACACGCATTTGCTGCACAGACACAATTGCATGCTAAAATTTGACATGAAGGCAGGAGCAGGTGCAAGGATCCAAACATAGACACTGATTTGATTCTGGGTCCACATCTATGCAGGTTGCAGTTGATGCATTTTTCCAGCGTGTTTTTGCATTTTTTGACCAATAGGAAAGAATGACAGCTCTATTCATGTAGTATGACTTTGATGCGACTTTACACTCTCCGGCACTCAAGTAACATCAAAATCGCATCAAAGTCATACTACATGAACAGAACTGTCATACTTTCCTAATAGTAAAAAACCCATGTAAGCCCCTGACCCTTTAAAAAAAAAAATGCCTCGGCTCAAAACGCACAGATGTGAACTAGATCCATAGGAAACCAGGTTAAATGGACTGTAGTGAGTTTCTGCAAAATGCACTAAAAAAAAAGCATTGGCGTGAAGCAGGACTCTATATTCGATTGTGTCCATTCAACCGCAATCTACTACTATGGGCTGCCTACAATCAGCTCCGAGGTGGATTCCCACAGAGCAGACAGTACCTTAAATCGGAGGACGAGTCTGATTTCCCATCTGAATGATGCTTTAATGCAACCGAATTTATGTTGCTAACAAGTTTGTGTGATACAGTAGCAGAATACAGCAACTTTCTTGTGTGGTAAGCATCTCTAGATATCACCTGCAAATACTCTGTAAATTGATATATTATGAAACCACAGTAATCGTAAAACATCTAGGTTGACCACACCTTTCAGTTTGTTTGCAGACCACCATTACAGAATTTTGAAGCAGGAGTTTTCTTCTGTCAGAAACTTGAATAGTCAGTCACCTTCAAAAGTAATTGCGGAGCATTGCATAGAAATTCCAGGCCTGTGCTGACAATCTGTTATAGGTCATAAGGGCTAATAGGTAGTAGTAATGATTTTCTATACAGGTATGCCTGCACCACAGTCCTTTTACTGAAGCCCTTGTTCCAGAGACCTCTGCCCCAATGACTTAACCTTTATGTATCTCTGCGCACTTTGTAGAAGGGTCTAAGACAAATTGTTTTGACATAACACTGAGTTCCAGTGAATCCTGTTGACATACAATACAGCAGACTATGGCAGACACAAAAGGGGAAAAGCCTGTTTGCACATAGCTTTAGGATGAGACTGATCTGTGTGAAGCTGAATTCCAGGCCGACAGATAAATAAAAAATATATGTGAACTCCCTTCTCTGATAAAGAATTTGTAACTCCGTTCAGCCAATCTTAGGATTCTTTTCCATTCACACAGCAAGGCCCTGGACCTCCCTGCAAATGACACTGCAGAAAGGCATCTATTAGTAAATATTTTTGGTTTTGAGTAGTGTAGGGCAGGGGCATTGAATTAAAATTCGAGGAGGTCCGGTCACTAAAATTTTCTTCTGGCCAAGGTCCGAATAGGGTGTGCCCATCAGTGTGCCCCCTTACACTAGATGTCACCATCAGAGTGGCCCTTTACATCAGGTATCCCCATCACAATGCCACCTTACATCAGATATTCTCGTCAGAGTACCCCCTTACACTCAAAGTACCCCTTTCCATCATATTTCCCATCAGAGTGACCCTTTACATCATATTCCCCATCAGAGTGCCCCTTAACATAACATGTACCCACCAGAGTGCCCTCTTAACATAAAAGATGCCCATCAGAGTTCCCCTTTCCACAGTATGTGCCCATTTGTGCCCCCTTAACATAACATGTACCCATCAAAGTGCCCTCTTAACATAAAAGATGCCCATCAGAGTGCCACTTAACATAAAATGCGCCCATCAGAGTGCCCCTTAACATAAAATGTACCCATCAGAGTGCCCCTTAATTTATATGTGCTTATCAGAGTGCACCTTAACATAAAATGTACCCATCAGAGTGCCCCTTAATTTATATGTGCTTATCAGAGTGCACCTTAACATAAAATGTACCCATCAGAGTGCCCCTTAATATAAATGTGCTCATCATAGTGCACCTTAATATAAATATACCAATCAGAGTACCCCTTAATATAAATGTGCCCATCAGAGTGTCCCTTAACATAAAATGTACCCATCAGAGTGCCCCTTAACATACAATGTACCCATCAGAGTGCCCCTTAATATAAATGTGCTCATCATAGTGCACCTTAATATAAATATACCAATCAGAGTACCCCTTAATATAAATGTGCCCATCAGAGTGCCCCTTAATATAAATGTACCCATCAGAGTGCCCCTTAATATAACATGTACCCATCAGAGTGCCCCTTAATATAAATGTACCCATCAGAGTGCCCCTTAATATAAATGTACCCATCAGAGTGCCCCTTAATATAAATGTACCCATCAGAGTGCCCCTTAATATAAATGTACCCATCAGAGTGACCCTTAACATAAAATGTACCCATCATAGTGCCCCTGTAAGACTAACCCTACCTTGAGGGCAGACAGGAGCAGTGCCAGGATCCTTGCTGAAGGATGCTTGTGTACAGGCAGGGAGCGGGAGCCGAGAGATACAGTGAGGTGCAAGGGGTGCACACGTGATGTCATGTTGCCGTGATGACAGCCCTGCTCAGTAGCGGGTCTGTCATTGCGGGATGGCGGTCCAGAAGGGAGCATTGCTGGGGCCGTTCTCAGACCGCTGGTGTAGGGTATGGTTAATACCCCTGTTGTGTGTGTGTTTTTTTTTTTGGGGGGGGGGGGCCTCCTTTCACTTCCTCTCCCAGAGACACAAGAGGAAACAGGCAGCGAGAAGAAATCTTTCCAAAGTAAAGGGAAATCCTCTATTAGTTGTCATCAAAACATGTCTTTCCATTGGAAGATCTATTATCACCATCGGTTACTGTGACAACTAAAATGTGGATTTCCTATCACTTTCTGTCCCAATGACAATGGTAATCAGACACAAATAAAGAGGGAGAATCGCTATAGCAAGGACACAGACAGTAACGAATCCTTCAAAACACAAACCAGCACCACTAATGTGCAGACGAAAGTAAGGAAAGTAGAGTACAAAGCCACAAGAAAAAGTACACCGTAAAACATGCCTGCACTAGAAAGATTGTATGAAAAAAGTAAATTACCGTTAATACTGTATAAATTATATAACACTATGCAAGTGTACAATCGGGACTGCTGTACTGATACTCTTTTTGGAAGGAAGTTGTTTTTTTTTTTTTAACCTAGTGTAGCTCTACCCTCGTGAAAGCCACTGTGTTTCTAGGTCCTCCTAAGCCTCCTGCTCAGCCAGGCAATATGCATTTTCCGCACTTGCATCCACAGTCAGTGAACCATGAGCTTGGTTTTTGTTATTTTGTTAGGGGAAATACCTTAGATAAGGTAATAGGATTTATGGGATGCCCAACTCGGCTGAATCAATGTACAAGGACAACCTCCTTCCCTTTTACAGAAAGAGATCCTGGACTGTTCTTTTCCTTGAAAGCTGTCAGTCCTTGCAGATCAGTAGCAACAGCTCCTTACGGGCGAGGGACTTGCAGCCCCTCCTGAAAATCAGCTTAACTTGTAAGCTAAATGCAGAGATGTTTCCTCTCCCCTGTAGAACTGCTCCCAGCTCCACAGCCAGCAGATACTACCAGCCCTACTGGTTGCTGTGAAGATCTCCCAGGACAAGGATAAAAGATTAAATACAGCGCCGTCCTTTGAAAGCTTGCTACATGTGGCAGTCTCTCCCCTTGTGAATCCCCACGTGTGCTGATGTACTCTGTCCTCCTTGCTCTCAATGCTCCCAGGCCTTGATCTTGTTTATGCCATACTGCTGAATGGACCCTCCTGAGCCAGCCCAAGCCCAGCCTGGAGGCCAGCCCCCCTAAACCTAAGGGACCCCACCCAGGCCACCGACAGTCTCCTCACCACTCCATCTTCCTCGTGACTCCCCCAGCCAGCCTGACTATCTCATATTTATGGGATTCTCCACCATTCTACCAAAGCCTCCAAACCTGGCAATGGTTAGACTCCCATAAACATGCATATTAGGTCTCCACCTCTTCCGCCCGCTGACTTCTGGAAGATTCCATTGGTCCTCCAGAACCAGGTGGAGGCGATAGTGTCCCAACCTGTTAACCCATCCAGCTTGGCCTGCAGTAACCCAACCTTAAGGCTAGGTTCACATATGTGCGGGTGGTGCCACTGCGGATCTGCTCAAAAATCCGTGCAGCCGCACCACCCGTACAGAAGAATGCGGATTAATTCTAATGGCACACCGCCCAAACTGGAAATCGCTACCGTACTGGGAACCGAGGTTCCCGTGTGGGCTGCATTTTCAGAAGAAGTGCAGGGACTTCTTCCCTGCGTGTTTCGGGGCACGGGAGTCCATTCAAATGAATGGGCTCTCGTGCCCACGCAAAATGCGGATCGCAGGAACGTGGATATGTGTGAACCAGGGGTAATCACAGACTCACACAGTTACCATGAGTCCTACACAATAGATTTGCCTACTATTTTAAAAAAATGTATACGATCTGAAGAGAAACCAGAGTATACTTCTATGTTTTTTTAATATGTTTAATCTTGGGTTATATCTGACTGTCAGGGATCTCCTCGATCCCTGCCGCGATGGTCCCGGCGCAGGCGCACTGCTCCACCCAGTACACGGGCACTAGGTCCGGGCCGGCCGCGGCGTTCGAGTTCGCGCATGCGCAGTAGAAGCCGCGGCCGCCCCGCTGGGCACCAATGGCAGCGCAGGGCGGGATATTTAAAGGTCCCTGAGCTGTCATTTCGTTGCCTTCTGGTCTTACCTGCTTCCTGTGATCCTGTACCTGTGCCTAGTAAGTTATTGACCCGGATTGCTCTTGACCTTGCTGATTTCTCCTGCCCAGACCCTTGCTTGCCTGACCTCTCTCCCTGGATGCCCCTCATTAGATCTGACCTCCTCTGTTGCTGACCTGGCGTGTGACCCGACGATTCTCTGCCTGCTCCCTTGTACCTTACCGTCCTCTACATTACCGACTCGGCCTGTCTGACTACGCACTTGCTCAGCCATCCATCCATCATCCCATCGGGGTCACCCGACCTCCTCACATCTGGCTCTCCCTGGTTGGAGCCCCTGGCGAACACCCCTACCACTGACAGGTGTGCTCAGTAGAGGCGACCTGGTCTCGGGGTACTACAAGTCCATCCCCACCATCAGGGGCCCTGGTGAACAAGTACCCTGGGGCTTAGACTCCGCGCTCTGGGCACGCCTGACCAGTGGAGTGCTAGTGGTGCCGCTCGGCGGTCCCTCACAGTACCAGAAGGCCATGACTGAGCCTCGAGGAGGACTTTCCCCCCGTTGGACGAGGTTTGCAGGCACCTGGCCACCCTGACGCAAGCAGTAAACACATTACAGGACAGATGTCTGCAGATCGAGAATCGGTTTCAGGCCTGCACCATATCTGTTCCTGTTTCACAGGCCCCGGTTCCTGCACCACCCGTCGCAGCAGCAGCCCACGAGCCGGCTCCTGGGCCTCCCACATCACTCCCTATGGCGGAACCCCGAGTACCCTTACCCGAGCGCTTCCATGGGGATCGCACACGCTTTCGGTCATTCCGTGACTCCTGTCTGCTCTATTTTGAACTGCAGCCACGGACCTTTTTGACAGAATCGGTGAAAGTGTGGGGTTTGTTGTCTCCCTGTTGCAGGGTGAACCCCAAGACTGGGCCCACCGACTAAGGGGAAACAATGACCCTCACCTGGTTACGGTCGACAGCTTCTTTAACGCCATGGCCATCTTATATGATGACCCACAACGGGCGGCCTCGGCCGAGGCCACACTATACGCACTCCGACAAGGTCGGCGTGCGGCTGAGGAATACGCCTCTGACTTTAGGCGCTGGATGGGTGACACCCGTTGGAACGAGTTCGCACTTTTGCACCAGTTCCGTATGGGCCTTTCTGAGGCTCTGAAAGACGAGCTCGCCCGGGTGGAGGTGCCCGAGACATTAGAGGACTTGATTGCACTCACCATTAAAATTGACCGTAGGCTACGGGAGCGCAGATTTGGAGAGGTCTGGTCAGGGTCGCGGAAATCCCTGGGGGTCATTTCAGGGATCCGGTGTCAAGGTCCTACCTTTTCCCAGAGGTTATGTTACCATGCCATGTGCTAGCATCCATCTTGGATTTCTGCTGAGCATGATGGGAATCTTTTATGCCTTCAGGTCTCTGAGGTCCATCCCCCAGAGGGGTGTGGCTGAGTACATATAAGCCTGGGATCTGCACATGCTCTTTGCACTTGTGTCTTGTGTCTTGGTCTTGCTACAGCTCTGTGTATACGCTCGTGACTCTTCTGGTATTCTGACTCGGCTTGTGACTAAGACCATTCTCTGCGTTTCCCTTTGATCTGACCTTCTGTTGCTGAACCCGGCCCGTGACCTGTGATTCTCTGTCTACTGTTCTGTACTGTTTTGTTCCCGTTGTTATTGACCCGGCTTGTCTGACTACGCTATTGTCATTCTCACCAACTACACGCCATTGGCGGCGGCCATTACCGCAGCTGGGGTGTCTCGGGGGCCGCGACCTGGTCCCTGGTTGCGTCAAGTCCATCCCCACCATCAGGGGCCCTGGTGAAGGGCAGCCTGGGACTTAGACTCCGCGCCCTGAGGGACTTCAGTCTGTTGGTGTGTGTTGTCGTCAGCCAGTGCGTTACCCTGCCACTAGGCCTACCTGTCCGTTCCACAGCCCTGCCCTGGGACATCCGGTCAACATACTAGGCCAAGCATCCAGAACCTGCCGTTTGAAGATGCTCCCGAACCCATGCAGCTAGGCCTGGCTCGGCCTAAACTATCGCCTGAGGAACGCCAGCGCAGACGCTCCCAGAATCTGTGTCTGTACTGCGGCGAAGCTGGTCACATGGTGCGTTCCTGCCCGCAGAAAACTGAGTAAGTTCACCTCATCTTCTTTATATCTGTTGGCAATATGAATCAGTCCCCAGTACTTAGTTGTTCCCCTCTCCTTTCAGCTTTCAGAAAGGACCGTGGAGGTGACGGCCATAGTTGATTCGGGGGCATGCAGCTGTTTTGTGGATATCAATTTTGCTCACCAGCAGGGTATTCCCCCTCCGCCCAAAGGAGAAGGGGTTTCACATCTTTTTGGCTGATGGTTCCCGGATAAAGTCAGGAGTAGTTAACCAGGAGACCCCTTCCATTGTGACTTCCATTGCCGGTCAGCACCGGGAACTCCTCCGCCTGGATGCTATTGCATCACCCCTTTTCCCAGTCATTCTGGGGCTCCCTTGGTTGCGGGCCCATAACCCCCAAATTGACTGGGAAACTGGGGTTGTCTCGTTCCCTTCCCCATATTGTCGGGAACTGTGTCGAACTTCGGGCCCGGAGGTCCCCCAGGTCCTCCTGTGCTCTGAAGGGGATGACAGCCT